ATAGAACATTCATCTGATACCATCTATCATTTTTTTTAGTAGTTACAAATCGTGCTTTGTTTGCACATCAGCCACATGTCCTGTGTAAAAGGCTGTGTTGATTAACATGGGAATGACATGTTGTTTACCACGTCTGGTGTAAAATGGGCCTTACTGTCTGTCACATGATCATCATTTCACTATCATTACTTTCACTATCATTACATAGTAATGGTAAAGCATAAGCATAGACAAGTGCACTAATCGTTTCTATATCAGGTGTGAGTTATTAGGTAATAAAACACTAAACACTGTGTTCTAAGAGCACAAGTTGTATTACAACTTAAATGAAATATACGATGTAAACAATTTTAAATAACTAAAGCAAATGATGTGTAAACTATTCAGATACACTTGAATTTTACATAAAGAGTACTTATATCATCGAAAAAATATCGTCTGATTAAAAAAAAAAAACTGTACATTCAAACTCTTGGACCCTACTGGACTTACAGCATGTGTACTTAAGAAGTGTGTGTGTGTGTGTGTGTATAAATGTCTACTCCAGACACTGTTACTTCATGTTGTTACAGCTGCACTCTCCCGTAGTCCTGACTCAGCCATCAGGTGCTTTCCTCCCTCCGCTTCTCCTCTTTGTTTTTTTCCCCTTCCTTTCTTCCAACGAAGGGGAAAAGAGTCCTCCTTTCCACTCCTTTTTCAGCTTGCGGTGAGCGAAGCATGCTGGTGGATATGCATAGCTTGCATGGCAGGACCAGCGAGTTGATTGGCAGGACAGGGAGAGGTTGACTAATGATAAGTTCTCTTGGAGTCTTTGGACACTTAGCAGCATTCCACAGGCTCTTTGTCTAGTTCCTGTATTAGATCTAGCCATATCTTTTTTTTTTTTTTTTTGTTCTTAATCTCTATATTTCAGTGTTGCCGGCCATGAACTCTTTTTTGGGTGTGAGTATTCATTTTAAAATACCAAGTTGGCTAGTTCCTTAAAGAACTTGGAATGCTGCTCAGACATCTGTGCTCTGATATATGTGTGTGTGTGTGTGTGTGTGTGTGTGTGTGTGAGAAACAGTATAATAGACAGTCTATTGCCAGCGTAGAGATTGTCAGTACTGTCTCGCTTCTGAGCAGGCATAACCTAAGTTTAGTACAGTACTTGTGTGTATTTGACTTGCTTGCCTTATTTTTTGATTGCTTGTTTTTTTAAAAAAATTATTTTCTAAACTGTAGTGCTTTTTGGTGAAGAAAGCAATTCATGGTTGACAACATCATTAAAAATCAGCTTTGTCAGTGTTGTGTGCATACGAGAAAGCTTGTTCAGGTTTGTCTCTTTCTGCATTCGGTGGGAATAACAAGACACATATGCAATAGGACATGGGAATAACAACAGGACACGTCGCTGTCTCTGGGTACATATGAGACTCATCTGTAGTTTCCCGGAACTGCAGCTACCTACAGGTTACGTCAGTTTCTATTTAAAACACACTTGCCCGGCGTGCAAAATGCTGAGGTAGATTCCCTGCACTAGTCCCACTTTGTATATTTTCTCACTACCTTGGAAACCAGTTCTCTGGGGAAGAGATGGATATGTGTAAACACAGCCAAGTGCAGGCACAAACACACACACACACACACATACACACACACTGGCACAGAAACAACAAATCCTTATTACATGTATGGCCAGGTTAGAGGGCACTTTATAACTCCATAACTCCTACTGTAGATACAGACAAAGATTAAACACCCATAGCCAAGGCACACACACACACACACACACACACACACACACACACACACTGAAAATCTTGTACACTCATTAAATTTCTTCCTGCCCTGCCAAGATCCCATCTGTAAAATGTGAACCTCAGTTAGGCGTGTACACACATATTACTGAGAGGAAATCGGAATCAGAATGTTTGGGTCAAAGAGCAGTATTACTCTCATTAGACAGTGAAATGTACATTTTTCTTGTACTGTTCTCGATTAGTTTGATTAAATATAATGTAATCCGAAAATACAGTATCAACCAGCATCAAAATAACAATTAATAAAAGCATTTTAATATTCCTGATGGATCCCTGCGATCAGTTAACAGCTATTTTGGTAAAGGAAAAAAAAAAAGTTACAGATTTCTCAGATGGTGTTTCTCTCTTCCTTTCTTCACCCACTTTCCATTTTCTCCTACTCTTTTACTCTTTGCTCGTGACTTGGATGATTGCTGAGGTTTGGCTGGTACCCTTGACCGGGCCTGGTGGCAGCATCCAATTCCGCCAGACCACCAGGACTTCTTGAGGTTTTGATCATCGCAGCCAACAGGAAGTACGAGGTGCGGAGTGAATAGGTTCAAGTCGGTGTACCAGAAAAAGGAGCAGAGTAAGCATCAAAATGAAACATGCCACTGATTTATACTTAAGAGACTTAAGATGTACAATTACAAAGATGTACAACTGGAATTTTAAGTGCTTTATAAAGTGAATATTTTGTATTTTGAGAAATCTTTGGGAAAATACCAGTGAAAGGGCCCACCCCACCACTCCTTTTTAGCCTACATTTTTTAATACTCTGCACAAATAAATAAATAAATAAATAAATAAATAAATAAATAAATAAAAATTCCCTTGAAGCTTATATGATACCCTTTAGAATCCTTCATCCTTTTTTGCAGGCTACACATTTCTCGCTGTGTATCTATTTCTTAATCGCAGTTTTAATCATTATAACGCGTATGATAGTCTGGATATTTGTAAATGTGGACATTTTCTGTTATATGAGGTTCTGAAAAATACATTTTTTACTGAACTGAAATGTTTCTCTTTTGCACATATCTTGCATAAGTGAAAGGTGAATGAATTTAAAGACTTCATTCTGACTCCACTGAAAGACACCAACACACTGATTGTCTAAAATCAACTACTATTTATTTAATCTGTATTGCATACAGTATATAAATAATAAATATCAGCATAAAAAAAAAACACATATAAAAATATATATCAAGCAAGCATCCCAGTCACATCTACATTTGCATCATAAGCATCATTCACATCATTCAAAACTTATCACCTGAAGTTCAGGGTCAGTCACTACGTTTAATGAGCTTCATCTCATCTCTTGACTCAGCTGATCAGTGTCCACTCTTACAGTGGCGCTAAAAGAATAGCTGATTAATTCAGTGAGTTTTGGTGGCTATTTTTTAACTAGCATTCAAACAGCTGGTCTAGACCATTTGCAGACAGAAGCTTATGTCTATTTTGCTCCAGGCTGACAGCATAGGCAAGGACAGAAAGCAAATAAAGTACATTTTTGCACTGTTTTGGTGAAATATATTGTTTTCTTGATTTCTTGTCATGTTTGGTTGTTTGCTATAATTTGGTTGCAGCAACATGTTTTCCTAGGCCAAATACAAATTCATGGAATTTTTCTAAATTTAGAAAAAATTCTAAATTTCTGACTCATATCACATGTAGATGCCTACCTCCAAACATGGGGACTAACTCAAGTACGTAAATGTTGTGCGGAATAAGATAATGGGAATCATTGTATGGTTTTAATTTCAATTCTATTGTTTTTTTTTAAATGAAAAAAAAAAGTGTGATTTCATTTTAGCACACACGGATTAGCTAACTGCAATCTGTCTGACACTCTCACTCCACCCTCCACTTTATTTTGTTACATCATACACGCTAATGAGTACCAACGAATGTGTGAATATGTCCGAATATTTCCTGATTCCGCACTGTGCTTAGTGGCAGCAAATTTTCATATGTACTGCATTCTTGTGGAAACTCACAATCTTGCAGGCACACAGGCACTGATATATTGCAGTTGAAGCTTTCTAGATCTTGGTGAAATGTGCGCATATGATTCATTCAGGAACGGGTGAAAGAAATCAGGATTGAGAAACGTTGAGAGGTACACTGATGATGATTGAAGTAAAAAGTTTTTTCTTGCCTTTTTTGATTTTTTTTGTGAACTTCTACTCTACACCTCGTTTTAATGAGCTGAAACGATATCATATTTTTTTTTTTTTACTTATTTACTTGCCAAGAACAAATTATTACAATTCCTTTCTCCATCAGTATTGGCCTTATCACTATTCATATCATATTGACTGAAAGGCAGGAAAAGTGTGTGTGTGTGTGTGTGTGTGTGTGTGTGTGAAGTAAGTTCATTCACATAGCTTTTATTCAGACCAAGTACAGAAAGATTACTCAAGAATTTGGAACCAAGGACTATGAATACACAAACTACATAAGAAGAAGGAGAGCACAGGAGATCTTGGAAACACTTTACAGAACTAACCTAATAAGAAGAAATCAGTGGTAACAATGAGCTGAGGTGAGGTCAGGGCAAAGCTTGAGCAGCAATGAGGAATATAGCACAGAACTGTTAAGAGCCAGGAAGTAAAACAGTAAAAGCTCGGAAGTAAAGCATCAAACAGGAAGGCTCATTACAGACGTCTTGCCTTTTTTCTATAAATGTGTTGGGTTTTCCAACTTTTTTTTTTTTTTTTTTTTTTTTTACATATATTTATTCCTAGGATTTTTTTTTTTTCATAAAATGATTACAAACATTTCCCAAAATTATATTTCATTGCATGCTCTTTCCATCATCTTCAATGTTTTACAGAATAATAATGTTACATTGTCCATGGTTGAGAGGTACAGGACATACATTACATAATAAGCTGTGGCTGCGCAATTACATAGGACATTTTGAAATCAGCTAAAATAATGTATTTTATATTCAATAGGATATATTTTCAGGAGCCCTGCAAAAACTGTTTGGTAGTTTACCCATGCTTGGAATTTGTGCTCTGCATTTAACCCATCCAAGTGCACACACAGTAGTGAACAAACACACACCCGGTGCAGTGGGCAGCCTTTTTTGCTGTGGCACCTGGGGAGCAGTTGGGGGTTCGGTGCCTTGCTCAAGGGTCTCACCTCAGTCGTGGTATTGAGGGTGGAAGAGAGCGCTGGTCATTCACTCCCCCCACCTACAATCCCTGCCGGCCTGAGGCTCAAACTCACGACCTTCAAGTTACAAGTCTGACTCTCTAACCATTAGGCCACGACTGTCCCCAATGTGACTGTTAATAATGTAATTACCAGATTTAGAACTACTGATATAGGATATAACTCCATTCTTAGCAAATGTCTTGAGTGCTCAAAGTTTTCCCATTCACTTGTAAAGCATCAGCCTAGCCATTATGTCAGCATATATGCTTGGACTGTGAATAGACTCACAGACACACAAGCCATGTAAATGATGAACCAGAGTAGCTTTTTCATTCTGCTGAAAACCGTTTATGTACATTTTCATTTCAAGATGATTTTGTGGCACTCTCCAGACTGTTTCCCAGTTGTTCTGTAAGGATAGCTTTAATTTAACTTTTAAATTTAACATCCCATCGAGTACAGTGCCATTATTTTATTATAAACCATTTGTGCTAGTGTTCATATTTGTCAAATGTGATTTATATAAACCTTGCTAATTCAACACAAGGAAATCGTTGTGGAGAGCTTGCTGTGGAAATTTCCAAAGTTTTCCCAACCTGCACAAAACAAATCCAATACTGTCTTTCTACTCCTTCGACTTAATTTCATCATGAAACAAATATAATTATTCTTTTTTTGCCTGCAGCACAGACCTCTTGTACATGAGCAAGATCAAATGCAAACGAGTCTAAAATGCCCTTGGTTGTAGCCTGTTTAACTAGATGTGTGGACTGTTTAACCTCTTTTAAAAGCTGATTCTATGAATCATATCATCTAAAAAGTTATCAATTTTTATCTAGTGTCTACAGCTTTGCTCAATGGTTCTATGCAGTCCATAGAACAGTGCGTTCATTATGACCAAAGGGTAGGGTAGTGTTGGTAATGTTAGGGTTAGGATAGTGTTAGTAGTGTTCATTCAGCAAAGCAAGGCAGTCAACCAGTAATTTTCAGCATTTAAACAGTCTATTTGTATCTTGAACAATTATTTTCTGTGGAAGCATGGGCATCCATTTGTTTTCTAGAAAAACACATACATGTATCAATCACCAACATACACTATATGGAGAAAAGTTTGTGTAAATCTGACCATCACACCTGTATGCTGAAATGTATAATGTTGGAAGCACACAATTGTATAGAATGTCTTTGTGTAGCATTACAATTTCCCTTTACTGTAAGAGTCTAAAGAGTCCCAAATCTGTTCCAGCATGACAATACCCCTGCACACACAGCGAACTACATGAAGACATGGTTTGCCAAAGTTGGACTGGAAGAACTCGAGTGGTCTGCACAGAGCCCTGACCTCAGCCTCACTGAACACCTTCGGGATGAACTAGAATGCCAACAGCGTCCAAGGCTCCTCACCCAACATCAGTGCTCTAATGCTCTTGCGGATACAAGGGCAATGCTCCAAAATGTAGAAGAAAGACTTCCCAGAAGTGTGGAGGCTATTAGAACAGCAAAGGGGATCTTCTGCAGTGTAGTAATGAACTGCTCATTTTGTCCATGAGACTGTAGCCTGTAAAGGATCATACAAGCCTTCTCAATGCCCAAGACTCTGAACATCAGTTGAATAACCTCAGGTTAAAGTTGGAACCCTGTTTGTTAAGATGCGTTTGTGGTGCTCCATGGCGACACAGCCCTGAAGCTGTAAGGCCTCAGGCTACTGTGGCAGCTTGGTCATCAGGCAAAAGGTATCCATTTTATAAAATAATCTTGAACCACTAATAAGGAGCAGTTGTAGCATTCATTTTTATTTATGGAACCCATTATTTAGTAGCAATAATATCCATAGGCTATCCCTCACGAACAGTGCCAATACAGAAGTCTGAGATTTCTTGAAAGGGCAGCCTTTAGGAGAATAGCTGGTGTATTTATAAAACAAGATTGTGGTAGTATGCAGCCAGCCCCATAAACTGACTTCAGAGACACAGGTAGGTTGTGGCCATTATTGTACTTTTTGCACCTTCTGGCAATTTCTTATGTTCAGAGGCAATATACCCAAGGTAAGCGACAGTAACAATTCACTCGAACCCTGTGTAGTGACATAGATGTAGCTGTGTCACACACCTGTTATGCCTAATGTCATGTGTTGCAATAAGTTGTCATACGTTGTAATAACAGTGGATGTCCAGTGGCTGAAATACAAACCTAACAATGTTTGAGAACTGTTATGACAGGATTATGAATATCATAGAATTATTCATGTTTACTCCTAATATTTCTGGTAATCACTTGATGGAGTCATTTTCTTCAGGGGCGCTGATCTTTCCTGATCATTAAGTATACTGGCACTTTTTCGATTTCCTGATCTAATTCCAAATCAAATGCCCATGTTTTTAAGTCTTTATAAAAGTTGCATACCTAAATTATTACAATTCTTATATGAGTTCAAATGCTCACAGTGGCACAGCCATCCGTGGCCAGAACTCCAAGAGAGCAAAACTGGTCATACTCTGTGAGTGGGAGGGGTGACATACTGATGGCTGTGGCAACGTCGGCATTTGAACTCACGATCTAAGATTACCAAAATGCTTTTTAAAATGAACACACACACACACACACACGTTTTACATGTTATTGATAATCTTACTTTTGATGTTTTATAATAGACTGCAAAAGCAGGCTATTAATTACTCTTTTCAACTAACCTTTTTCCCCTGTATAAAGTCATCTTTAAATGTTTTAGACTCAGTGTTAGTGTAAGCAGTCATAAACTAAACGACCATAAGCTCAGAGTAATGCAAAGATCTTATACACCAGGCAATATATCAAAGACGTCCTCTAAAAGTCCCTGTGTAACCACAGGAAACAATTTCCAGTAGTCAGCGTCTTCTACAACATACCAGCTTTATTTCTCATTTCCAGTTACCCTTATTTCTCTAGTAATAAAGGACATCATAGTCCTTTTTTTTTTACCATGGAACACCAATTCATTGACTGAAAACACTGGTTACTCTCTTGAGATCTATGTCCTTTTGCCGGAAACATGCTTTTATGGTTCCTGAAAATCAGCAATAGGCAGACAAAAGTTACTGACCACAATGACACAGAATAAATGTCACTTTTTATAAGCAAAGGTAAAGAGCAAAAAAAAAAAAAACAGGATTGCAAGGAAGTGCAGAAGAATGAGAAGAAGGCAATCTCGACTATTATTATCCTGCCAGTACCTTTCCCTAACCATATTTTCTATTCTTTTCACTTTTGTTGCTTCTCTTCTCATTTTGATCCAGGGTTTATTGGATGGTATGGCTAGCTACAGCTGGCACTCTCAGCAAGGCAACCTTCTGAGGTGCTGTTTTCCTTGTAACTTTTTTCTGTGGTTTGAGAGGTGAAAGAAAGGGCTGAAGGAGGGAAGGCAACTGTGCACCTGCAGTGTTTAACAGCTGACCATGAGCCAAATCCTACACAGCCGTCCTGAGAGCCCATTGCATGACAACATTCTTCCATCTTCAATTTCTGCAATTACGCTATTCCTTCACTATCACTCAATTCAAATCACATAATTCATGCTCCTTCAAAGTAGAATTAGGGCTAATTGGGGTGCTCGCAAACATCTGTGCTGTAAGAATGCTAGCAATGCTATGAAATACATGATTAATTGCAAAACCGCTGTAGGAAAGGCATATCCTTTGCTTTCTATTTACGTTTCATCTTAATGATGATATGCATCAGCTTACATATTGCTCTGTAAGTTTATGTAATCTTGCATGTTCCCAGATCAAAAAATCCATTCTGTCATCATAAACCTCAACTCCCACACATACCAGTCAATCCCCTGTGGCCTGACATCACAGTTGCTTGTTTGCCCAGATGTTTCAGCGCTGTGCCAGATGGCACTCATCACATACATGACTTCTCTCTTCTGTGCTGTCCAAGAGTGTGTGTGAAAGAGGGGATATCTGTAAGTGAGCTTGAGTATGTGCTAAGAGTGTTTGTGCTAAGTGTACGTGTGTGTGTCCTATCTCAGGTCTGGCTTCACCTTAAATTACTCACCTGACGTAGTCGGTGAAAATGCTGACAACATATCAGTGTAATCCAATGTGGATGGGAAACACAAAATCTTTATATTTACTTTAAAAACTCAATAGTTTTTCTCTCTGAGAAAGCACAATCTGCCCAAGGAGCTGCTGTGCCAATTCTACAGGGCTACCATTGAGTCCATAGTGTGCTCATCAGTTACCGTCTGGTTCAGCTCTGCCTCCCAACTGGACAAGCACAGACTTCAAAAGGTAGTAGATTGGTAATAGGTTGGTAGAGCGCATCACTGGGACCAACCTGCTCTCCCTCCAGGACCTGTACACGTCCCGTGTCAGGAAACAGCTGGGAGAATAAAAGGGACCCCTCACACCCCTCACTTCAATTCATTCCCGATTTTTAACATTTACTCGACACCTTTTTTCCCCCTTTTTCATGCAATACCATACCCACATGCAATATCAGTACCATGTGCAATTTATTTATTTAGTGTGCAATACATATACTTTTTCTAACAAACTGGACAATATCTGCATTGAATTATCACTTAGCTGTCATGTGCCAATATGTTAACTGTTCTGTGTGAGCGGATTTGAAGAATGTCTCATGTTTACTCTGTTCTGTGTGAGTGGTTATTAAGATTGTGTTATGTTTGCGTGTGGTTTGTCACATAGTAGCTGTCATTGGGTTTTTTTATTACTCTATGTCTTGTTTATGTCCAGAATGTAGTGTAGTGTTTGTATATATAAGTGTGTAAATGTGCACTGTTGGATCACTATAAACTGGCAACAAATTCCTTACATGCTCAGGCACAGGTGGCTAATAAAGCTGATGCCGATTAAAACTTTGTTGTCATCTCTACATTATTTCAGGTGGATTAACCTAACGTAGATTCATATTATCCTGACCTGACAGGCTCCAAGAAACAAACGGACCAGGGGGCAGAGGGAGATAGCAGAATGAGCAGTAGTTCCTATCCTGCACATAAATACTATGTCTTAAAACAACAATTTTTTCACCTTCTGTTAGATGAAAACATTAGCGCACAGTAACAATATTCTTATTACCTTCTTAGGATCTATTCAAAAAGCATCAGGATTGAT